TTTTTCCGGTGATTCTAAAGTAGGTAGGTATAATGTATTTGTAAATATGTAGAAAAACTGCGTACTACATCCACACATTTAAAAATACTTACCGGTTTAGGGCAGGCGCGACAAAACACAGTTCGTTCTTGAAGAATAAGTTCAGGAAAAGGTTTAATCCATAAATTAATTTGAGTTATCTTCGACATATTGATACACCTGTATCGCTTTAAATGCTTTCAATACAAACTCACGATGAAAAATAATAGTATAACGTCTCTTCGACCACCACTAAACGTACCATTAATACACTTAACTAACAAACAAAAATATTGAGAATGAACGGTATTTCCAAAAGTAATTAGGGCGCGAATTTACCTGGAAGGATAGCTTAACACCCAGTGGTGTCTCCAAACTACCATAAAACCCAAACCTTTCCTAGTTATTTGAAGCTCAGAAGAATATTTGCAATATGATTCATAAAATTTCGTCTTTCTAGATAAATGCCGATAGAATGACAATAATTTTTTTTTCAAATTAGCTCAAAAATTGATAAAAATGCAAAATATGCACCTGTTCCGTGAAATATGCAGCAGAAGGCAAATATATGCAAATATGCAATTTTTTTATAGCTGTATTCATTTTTAATTAACATGATTCGTCCACATTTTAAATATCAAGACTTATATGCAAAAAATAACGGATATGCAAATTTCATAAAATCCGCTCTCTAATAATAAGATTATTTAGATTTCAAATTTTCTCTTGGGTGTCCATTACTGGGGCAATTACCCTACGACCAAATTGAAGCCCAACTCCGATATTTAGAGACTCTAGGTATGCAGTCCGCACTTGTTCAGCTATGCTGTTTCCCCTTGTCGAATCATGCCTTCCAGAAGATTTGCTAAAAATTTGGAAAAGATCAACATCTTTTAAAGATGATGATAGTTCAAAGGTGCGTCTAGACCGACGCATGAGTTTTTCGCGCAAAGTTGAAAACGAAGAACGAGTAGCTCCGACTGCCCAGAAGCTAAGTAGAAATCTCTTACTGAACTAAAGAAAATCCTGTCGGAAAAAGGACGTTGTCATGCCTGCCTTACATTTGGACATATAGCCGTCAAATGTAGAACAGCTGCCAAACTAAAGTGTCAGTCCTGTGAAGGTAAATACGTAACCTTGATGTATTTGAAATCTCCTAAGTTGTCAAATGGAGAATCTTCAAAAGCTCAACAAACAGAGGGCTTGTGCAACACTCTAAATAACGCTACATATTATGATGAATTTTTACAGACATTAGTGGTCAATTTAAAAGGCAAAGGTATCACACTTCCAGTAAGGGCGATTGACATGGAATCACACCGGTCATATATCAGCAACGCAGCAGCCAAACAAATGGGCTATGAAATCCTTAGAACAGAAAGAACTTATTCATGCTTTGTTTGAAGGTCTTTCGTATGAAGTAACTTCTCATAATTGCTATCGTGTCTATTTGGAAAATCCTGATAAAAGTTACACTTGTGGTTTTGAAGCCTTGGATCAATCAGTCATTTGTACTAATGTATTGGGTATACGAAATGGTCCATGGATGAAAGAACTGCAAGACCTTAACATCAAAATCAACGACAGAAGCCAAGCTCCCATCGAAATCTTAATCGATGCTGATATAGCAGGAAAACTCGTCTGTGGTGAGCAACATATTCTAAAATGCGGTTTGATTGCCATGAAAACTAAACTAAGGTGGACTCTGATGGGTAAAGTTGCCACTCCTCCTCCAGATGCACAAAAATCCTGCAACATTGTCGCTCTGTCACCTTTGTTAACAACACCAAAATTGACAGATTTATGGACTCGTGATGTTTTGGGTATTGAGAATCCCAGCGAGAAGAGCGGAAATCTAACCAGGAACACGAACATGGATTTAGGGACACAAACCACTACATGATAACCCGAACCTAGCTAAGAAAAGTCTCGACAATCTCATGAATAAGTTGGTAAAGGATTGCTATTACAATGAGTACGACTAGGTTTTTCAAGAATGATTGAAAGAAGGTATAATCGAGGAGGTTAAAGACAGCGAAATTAGTACCTCGGTTCACTATTTACCTCATCGTCATGTGGTAAAATTATCAAGTACTATAACTAAGATACGACCCGTGTTCGACGCATCCGCCTGAGAAAAAGATAGTCCATCAATGAACCATTGCTTAGAAAAAGGTATTAGTTTGTTAACTTTGATACCTTCTTTGTTAACCAATTTTCAAAAATCAAATATTGGTGTCATTTCCGATATAAGAAAGGCCTTTCTACAAATCAGTCTTCATCCATCCAACAGAGATTTTTTAAGATTTTTGTGGTATGACAAAGATGATAGGCTTAGGATATATCGACATGTCAGAGTATTTGGCATCACATTCAGTCCCTTCTTATTGAATGTAGTTATCAAACATCACCTGAACACTTTGCTAAAAGATAAGCGACTATTTTACCAGAAGACACCATTTTGAAATTTAGGAACACATTTTACGTTTACAATTGCGTAACTAGCGTTGACACACATTAAGAGCTACAAGACTTCATCAAAGAAGCTAGTGAAATTTTTGTTGAAGTTCAGTTGGTCCTAGGATTATAGGAGTTCACGATACTTGAGCCTACTTACGAAGAACAACGCATGTTTTCTGTACTGGGAATGATATGTAAAAGAGATGACGACACTCTACACATCTGTCTAGAAAATTGGAAACAAGTTGACACAAGTTGCATAATGACCATTACCAACAAAATTTTCGATCCACTTGGATTTGTGTCACTTGTAATTTTACTGCCGAAAATGTCACTGCAGAGGTCTTGGATGATAAAATTGAACTGGACAACAGCAGTTCCCGAATCCTTTTTACGATGGTTTAACGATTTGAATTGTTTTTCATCACTGAGTATCCCTAGACGGTTTTTCACACACAAACCTGAGAGCGGTCAGCTGAGTTTCCACAGTTTTTGTTAGGTAACTGTCGAATTTTTGTAGAAGGTAAAACGCTGTCACCCAGAACTACCGAAATTACGAATTAAATAGATTTATTTTGATAATAACATCTAGAATTTTGTATTTGATCAAAGAGTTGTCCAGACTATAGAAACATTTTTACCATCCCCGCCACTACTAGAAGAGCTGCTCCTAGGTGAAATTAGTTGTTTACCAGATCATAAGCGGCGTTTACCAGGCAGCCACTCTTTTTTAAAACAACATTTTTTTAAAATATCTGGGAAAGGAAATTCGTACAAAAATATTGAATGGAATTAAATGAATTTTTATTTTTCACTGCATAATGAGAGAGAGTGATTTATTTTACAAATTATTGTGTTACAAGCAATTGAAACACGCTTAAAACAATAATGAAACACATCTTGAAGCAGTGACTGTGAGACAAATTTTAAAGTTCTTCCTTAAAGTGTGGTGTGGTAATAGTTTCAGTACTACAACAACAGTGAATACGTAGTTTACTTATTTTAAAACAATAGTAAATGACTTAATTTACACTATTCACTATTCAAATCACTTAGTCTGCACTTGTGCACATGTGATATACTTTCTGAGGAATTTTTAGAATATTAACCACGCAATAATGTTACAGCAGACTTTTTAAAATGAAAATAATTACAATGAAACCGATACCTGTGCTCCTTCTGCTAGAACAAGAAATCAAGTGAATGTTGTTTTTATCTGACCACGAAACAAATCTCATCAACGTCTCTTGATACAAATGGCTAAGACTCAGAACAAATTCTTCAATTTCAACATGGCCTTCAAAAAATTTTTCCGACACTTGTGTTAAGGGATTAGATCCTAAATTAATAACAGTGAAAGTATGTCCTTCAAAAATTCCAACAGGTAAGTCACTTATGAAATTGTCTTCGAGATAAATACTGAAATACTCTACTGTCAATCCGGTGAAGACCTCTCTATCCAATTTTCTAATTCTGTTAAATGAAAACCGGCATTCTGTTCCATTGCTTCTCAAAAATCCAAAAGAATTTTTTTCAAGCTGTGTAATTTTATTATATTCAAATTGTAAAGAAAGTAGTTGAGGTAGATTTTTAAAACTTGCGGGATTAAAACGCGTTAGAGAATTATTAATTAAATTCAAAATTGTTAATTCTTCCAAATCAACAAAAGCTACGTTTTCGATTATTTCAACCGAACAGCTTAGAAGCCATAAGCAAGCAATTTTTAAATTCTTAAATGTGTGTCTTCTAAGTGTTCTGATTTTACCATTATAAATTTTGAGTGTGTCAATGAAGTCGACGTTGATGAGAAATTCGGTTTCTATTTCTTTAATGTTGCCGCTGTATAGAACAACTGAATTAATTTTTTCTGTAAAATTAAACATTTTGTTGCACAATTTTGTATTATTTCGTAAATCCACTTTGACTTCCTCTATTTCAGAAACGTCTACTTTTATGATAACGTCTTCTTTTACCTCAGTGTTGTTATCTGTGATAAGCTAGTAAGACATTGGATTAATTTCGTTATTTTTGCATCGAGTTCCACTCGCTAAAAGCAGGAGAACGTCGTATATTATTGTGATTTTCTTCAATGACATAGTCAATGTGTTGAGTAACCAACTAAAAATTGGCTAGCAAATGATATCGAAAAGTATCGAAAGGAAGTTCACTGTCAACTAATGTTCTAAGTGTTCTAAATAACAGAAAATTATATAATCGCTCCTCAATTATTTTACCAACTTTTATGTTACAGGAAATTTCATAATAACAAAGTACGATACTGTAGTAACACGTTAATAATGTAGCTATATTTGTTTCAAAAACAATAAAAATAGTTAAAATGTGAACACGTGAAGTTAGTTGTTATTAACACCTTTTATTTCAAAGCCAAACTAGATTCGAAATTTAAGAATTGCACGTTACAATATTGAAGTCTGTCAGCGATGATGTTTTGAAGAGACGAATTTATGTTTCCATTATTTGAGTTTCGCTTGACAAAAAAATTGTCTAAAAAAAAAATCAAATGACGCAAGTGTTGCTTTACTCGTAAATACCACGATTACAATAATAAAACCCCAGAAAGGTGTTCTACTTTCTAGTTTCGCGAAGCTTTACATAGCTGACTCTTCACTTGTGCTGGCAGCTGAAACAATCTATATCAAAACACGACCAATTTTTCGACTATAGAAAATACTTTCTATAGAAGGAGTGGTTTTCAAATTTCTCAAATAAATAGCAAAATCTTCATTCCATTTAGCATAGTCTTCACTTTCCTTTTTTGCCAGATCGACATCAGCACCACGATCGATCAGAAATTTAACAATCCGAAAATAATGATTAGCCGCAGCTATGGACAAAGGAGTTTTTCTATTATTATCCATTTGGTTAATATTAGCACCTTGTTCGACAAAGTATTTTACCAATTTGTAATTTTCCATTTCGACACTTTTCGTCAAAGGAGTATACCCACAATGAGCTGCTCCATCAAGACCAATTCCAATTTCCACGAGTAGTTTTACCATATCGTAATTTTTCCTTTGTAAGTACTTCATCAAGTAAGAACTTTTGTCGTCGTTGTCGAGAATTTGGATATTAGCACCGTTATCAATTAGGTATTTCGTCACAGCAACATTACCGAATTCGATGGCTTTGGTTAAAGGGGTGCAACCACTGTCGTATGTAAAATTGATGCAAGCTCCAGCTTCGTGCAAGTATTTCACTATAGTTAACTCGCTTTTTCGAATAGCTTCTAAAAACACAGTCTGAAGGGTAGGTTTTGCCCCGTTGTCTACCAAGTATATAATTAAGTCCAAGTTTCCGATTTGTATAGCCGCCATTAGAGGGGATTTGCCAGTGGGGCCGTATTTGCAAACATCCGCATCTTCATTTATCAAATATTTAACTACTTCAAACTGGTTTGATAGTGTAGCTTTGGTTAAAGGAGTGTTCCCGTCTTGATCTAAGCCATTTAACTTGGCGTTTTTCTCTATGAAAAATTTTACAATACTGAGGTGACCATTAGCTGCCGCTTTTGCTAAGGGAGCTTCACCGTTTTCTCCCAATTTACAAACATCAGCCCCTGAATTCACTAAATACTTCACCACATCCAAGTGTCCTGAATGTGTAGCGTTGGTAAGTGCAGTGCAACCATTAGGGTCGCTACAATTAACTTCGGCACCACTATTGTGTAAAAATTTTACGATTTCTAAGAAACCGCCAAGAGATGCATAACAAAGTGGTGTACTACCGTGTTTCGTTACTTTAGCCACATCTGCACCTTTTGTCACCAAATATTCCACTACGTTAAATTTCCCAGTTCTTGCAGCGTTTGCTAGCGCACTCTCACCAAAATAATCAACCCCATTAACGTCAGCGCCTTTTGATAACAAAAATTTGACAAGTTCTAGATGACCTTCAGTTGCAGCCCAGTGCAGAGGAGGTTTCCCGTCTTTTCCAAACCTCGACACATCAGCTCTTTCTTTGACAAGAAACGCGACCATGTCAAGCAATCCGGAAATGGTCGCGTTAGCTAGTGGAGTATTCCCATCTGGATCTACAATATTAACATCAGCTTCTTTATCCAGAAGGAATTTAGCGGCATTTTTAACGCCGTGTCTTGCAGCCCATGATAGAGGCATCTGACCGTTTTTGGCTGCCACATCGATCTTAGCTCCTTCCGTTACCAGAAGTTCCATAGTTGCCACTTGACCTCTCATAGCGGCATTTGCCAGAGGGGTGTTACCATCCGGATCAAGATGGTTAACACTGACACCTTTAGTGAGCAAAAATCTAACGACGTCTACATGGCCTTCTGAAGCCGCTAATGACAGAGGAGTTTTTTGGTTTGCGTCTACTTTGTGCACATCTGCTCCTTTGCTCACTAGGTAGTCAACAATCTCAAATTTTCCCTTAGCGCATGCGTACGTGAGTGGAGTATTGCCTGTGGAATCTTGAGAATTGATATCAGCGCCGTGTTTGAGACATTTTTTGACAATATTGATGTCACCGATTCGAACGCTGCTCGACAATTTCTGGTTCCACTCCTGGAATGGTTTTTGTTACATTATGACCATTTTTTGATTACTTGCCTCAGTGTGTTTGAGGGTTTCCGAATCGCCTTGATTTGACATTGTGGGTTTGTGAGGACGCCTAAGGTCTTAAGACGCAATCAAAATTTAGAACTGTCAGAGTCGAAAGTAGCACACTTGTCCTTTTAGTACAATCCATCTGACATAGGATCGGATAAACCATTCTGATAGAGTCCCTATATTAACAGTTTAAGTTGGAGTTCTTTATTTAAAAAATTATTGCAACAACAGCATTTAAAAAATTGTTTTCTTAATAATTAAGTGTAACCACCAATCACGTTTTGCTTGTACTACTTCTAGAGGAAGTATTGCTTTCTTTAGAGACATTTTTCGTTCCTACTTTCGCGGCGATAGCAAAATCCTTGTTCCAGCTGGCGAACGCCTCAACTGCTTGCTTCGCTAACTCAATATTAGCACCATAGTCCAGCAAAAATTTTGCAATTCGGAAGTAATACATTGACGCAGCAATCGATAGCGCAGTTTTTCGATTACTATCAACCAAATTAACATCCGCGCCTTGCTGTACCAAGTACTTGACCATTTTGAAATTCTCCATTTCAACCGATTTGGTTAACGGTGTGTACCCACACGTTCCCGGTAAATCAACGTTTGCTTTTGCCTTGATTAGAACCTTAACCATTTCACGGTTCTTCTCAGTGACAAACTTCATTAAAAATGTATTTTTGTTGTCATGTTTAATACAAGCAACCGATGCACCCTTCGCAATCAGAAATTCCGCCACACCCACATGGCCCAGCGAAAGGGCTGTACCTAAAGGTGTGCACTTATTTTCATAAGTAAAATTAACCCTAGCGCCCTTCGCTTGCATATGTTTAACAATGCGCAAGTTTCCTTGTCGAATGGCTTCAAGAAAGGCAGTCTGCATGGAACATTCAGCCCCATGGTTTAACAAATAAACCACCATGTCGAAATTTCCTTGTTGCGCTGCTGCAGCTAGTGGAGTCCTTCCTTTTTTGCAAACTTTGCAAACATCGGCGTCTTCACTAAGAAGAAATTCTACGATTGCCATTTGATTTGCGATAACCGCACTTGTTAATGGAGTCTCACCGTTGGAATCAGTTGCGTTGATATTAGCTCCTTCTGATGTTAATAATAGTTTGACAGCGTCGAGGTGACCATTTTCGGAAGCATGAGACAACGCGCCTTTGCCATTTGGTCCAAAGAGTTCCAAATCGGCTCCTCGTTTTATGAAAAAATCTATTACCTCGAGTCTTCCAGCTGCCGCTGCATTTGCAAGCGGTGTGTGTCCATTGAGGTCGGGAGAATTTTTAGCCCCTTTCTTATACAAGAGTGTGATTACGTCTAAGTGTCCGTTTAGAGCGGCATAAGATAAAGGAGATTTCCCTTGAATTCCACACTTGTCAATCTCTGCACCAGCATCAATTAAATATTCAATGACGTTGACATGTCCTGCTTTAGCAGCGCATGCTAGAGCTGTGTCTCCAAATGAATCTAGATCATTGATCCTAGCTCCTTTTTCTAATAAAAACTTTATAAATTCGAGCCGGGAATCCGCCACTGCCCAGTTTAAAGGAGGTCTTCCTCCAGGTCCGAACAAACCAACATCAGCTCCTTTCCGGATGAAGAACCACAACAAATCCCAACTTTTCGCTATCGTAGCATACACTAAAGGCGTATTACCATCAGGATCTATGACATTTACGTTGTCATTTTTCTGTAAAAGTAGCTTGACGATGTCAAAATGGCATTCTTTGGCAGACCAAGATAAAGGCGTCTTCCCGTGTCCTTCTGCTTTCTCTGCGTTAGCCCCTTGTGACAATAGATAATGGACAACGTCAATGTTACCATTCATCACAGCTATGGCTAGTGGTGTGTTACCATCTGGGTCCGGGTGGTTAATATTTACTCCTTTAGCAAGAAGAAGTTTAACAGCGTCGATTCGGTTCTCCAAGCAAGCCCAAGATAAGGGAGATCTGTTATCAGCTCCAGGTTTGTAAATGTCGCCACCGTTTACTATTAGATGCTTGATGATGTCCAGGTGACCCAAACTGGCTGCACATGTTAGTGGAGTGTGTCCAACGGTGTCGATGTTGTTGGGGTCGGCTCCTTGAAGTAGACATTTCTTGACCGAAGAGAGGTCACCTTTGCGTACTGAACTATTCAAATTCGCGTTCCAGTCCTTGAATCAGAACAAACGACACTTGTGACAGTAGTTTTTGTAGCGGTTTTACAAAAATGTTTGTATCAGTAGTGTAAACAAATCGTATACTGACCTGAAAGAATTTTAGCATGATTAATTTGGTAGGGTTTTCAGGATGAGTTGAAGTGAATACAGTGAATTTATGTGACGAAAGTGATCGCCGGAGCTGTCATGAGGTAGAAAATTCATGAAGTATGTTTATTTGAAGATTTGTAAGGAAACGACAACTAGGTGGTAAGAAAGTTTCGTACAGTTTTCTCCATCATTAGGTTAAATAAACAGGTGCAAAGGTATATTAAGATTTATTAATTTGTGTAAAGAAAAATATAAACTAAATTAGACTGATCCACTACTTTTGGAAATACGAACTAAAGTTAACATGGCTTCCTCCTTGAGGGCTCACCTCACTGCCACGATGCACAATGGGAATATAAAGTACATTTGGGCGAGTAATTTGAAATTTGTTCTTCAAAGTGGCGTAAATTGGTATGTTATTTCGTGTCAGCTTCTTCCTATTGAGCACCTATAAATCGCTACTTTTAGACAACCTTTATGAAATGGTTCATACTACCTGTTAAGACATTATCTTTTTCTTCCGCGACATTTCCAAACTAAATTTAATATCGTCGTTCCAACTAAAATAACTATCAAGTTCTTTTCTCGCAATTTCAGGATTTGCTCCGGCACCAAGCAGGTATTTGACAATCCGGAAACTACATTTCACAGCGGCAATGCTTAACGCAATCTTACTATTTCCGTCGACTTGGTCAAGTTTTGCTCCTTTCTGAACAAGATATTTTACCAACTTGAAGTTTTCCATTTCCACGGCTTTAGTTAATGGTGTATAACCTCCAATCCCAGTTAAATCTAGATTTATTCCTGCATCCACTAGCAATTCTATAATCTTAAAATTTTTTTCACTCACAAACTTAACAAGAAGCGATATGCTTCCGTTATAAGACTTGCAATTGGCACCGTTTTCAGCCAAAAATTTTACAATTTCGAAATGACCTAAATCTACAGCTTTCGTTAAAGGTGTGTGTCCAGTGTTGTATCGTACGTTTAAATTAGCTCCTCTTTGTATTAAAAGTCGGATAATATCCAAATTTTGAATTTCTATTGCGATAAGGAGGGCACTTTGTACTGTAGATTCTGCTCCATGATCTAACAAGTAGGTGATTAGTGGTAAAATTTGTTTTTCTACAGCAACTGCTAAGGGTGTTTTGCCGTCCTTTCCACATTTGCAACAATCGGCGCCATGTTCAATTAAAAATTTAACCATAGAATCGTTTTTAGTTTTAACGGCATACGTCAAGGCGGTGTTCCCATCTGAATCGATTGCATTGACATCACTTCCTCTGATGACAAGAGATTTCATTATTTCTAAATTGCCTCCTAACACAACTGATGATAGTGGCGGTCTACCGTTGTTACTAAATATTGTCACGTCCACGTTATTCTCCAATAAAATCTCTATGATATCTAGTCTATTTTTTTCAGCAGCAATTGCTAAAGGAGTGTAACCAAAATCAAAGCAGCTATTAATATCGGCTCCAGCATTTATAAGCATACTTGCAATAGTAGAGTTGCCTTTCAATATTGCATGTATTAACGGAGAATAGCCATTACAATCTACAACATTGACAGATGCATTCTTTTCTAGTAATATTTTTACTATACTACGATGAGCATGGCTTATCGCCTGAGATAAAGGCGGCTGACCCTCTGGGTATTGAAAACTATCAATATTTGCTCCCATCTCGCAAAGGTAATTAACGGTATCAATTTGTCCGAAATATGCAGCTGTTGCCAGTATTGTATTTCCAGATTCATCATAACTGTTAATGTCCGATTCGTGTTGAAGCCAATCCTTTACTTCTTGTAGAGTACACCTCGGGAAAACTCGACGAACCTGGCGCATCCGTCTCTACCGAAAAAGAAAATAAAAGTTCAGGAGGAATAAAAACATGTAAAAGACAGTTATATTATTTTTTTAATATGTTTGCAGGTCGCTAAAAACAAACATTTTTATTGCAATATTTAAACATGCCTAGATTTTTCGGCGGTGTAATTATTATTTTTATTAATAATGTTAATATAGTAGTACAATCCTTTCCGGGCAGCCCCCAATTAGAGCAAGGCCAAAAATTAAAATATCTAAACAGCAAAAAAGGAAAATGAAAAAAGCAATACAAAAGCAGAAATGCAGTCAGCAAGTATACAATACAATCTTTCACTAAAAATGCTGGAATATTATCAGGACCCATTGTGAAATTTGATTTACACTTTCTTGCTGCTTTGTAAATATCATTGTCGTTAATAACAAAATTATGGAGGGTAGGCATATCACAAATGGTAAAACATCATCAATAAATATGTTAAAGAGCAGGGGACCCAATGGATCCCTGAGGGACAACGGTCTCCTATTTGAAACTTTTGGATTTGAAACCCCTGATATAGACAAATGTAAATATGACCTAAGTAACTTGCTTATGCTGTCTGAAAAACCGAAATATTCCAATTTGCTCAATAAGAGGCTATGACCGATACGGTCAAACGCTTTTGAAAAGTCGGTATAGATAACGTCAACCTGCTGACAGGTATCTATTGCCCCGCAGAGGGTCTGAGTTATTGAAACTAAATTAGTTTCAGTCGATCGTCCTTTCATGAACGCATGCTGATATTGACTCAATGCTTGCATTGTATGGCGGTAAAGAGGAACGTGTAGAAGAGTTTCAAAGATCTTAGCAAAGATGGAAATATGAGAAACGGGATTTTTCAAATCCGTTTTATTACCTTTTTTATATACAGGCAGATCTGAGAAATCTTCAATTGACTGGGAAATACATTGGTTTTTAGGACTAAATTATATATAATGCGTAGCGGCTGGCAAAAGACATACATGCAATCTCTGATAATAAAGGCCACATGTCATAGTAACTCTTTAATAGCGATTAAAACTTCCGATTGGGACACAGACTTAATGTAAAGGGTATTCCTGATCAGATTTAGGGAGGAATAGATTCGCTGCCCATTGTTGGGAGTGAAGGATTTTGAAAAGTAGTCAGCGAAACCGTCAACAATAGCCTGTGGTTTATTACGTTCAGAGCCATCGTAAATCATGCCAGAAGGAATCGTACCCAAGACAGTTTTTGATTTTATAAAAGACCAAAATTACTTAGGGTCTGATTTTAGATTACTATTGGTGATATTTACATAGGATTTATAAGCATGATAAATTTATTATTTAGTATGGGCCCGTAAAGATTTAAATAATTCATAGTCATCTCTTGATCCAGTCTTAATATAACACGAGGGGTAAAGCGCAGAGGAAATCAATTGTACACGCTAGAAGAAATCAAAGGAAATCACAGGAAATCAAAGGAAATCAAAAGGAAATCAAGAGGAAATCAACGAGAAATCCAGAGGAAATCAATGAGAAATTAACGAGAAATCAGCAAGAAAACGCGACTTCTCAAAGCGATGCGTTTAAATTCTCGCCGACCTATTTCATCCGACGAAAATCATTTGAATAATTGGGAATGGTACCAAATGGGTTTCAGTGACAGCGATCTGACATCGTATGTCCAAGACACTGTACATATTATCACAAAGTTAAGAACAAAGTTTTTAAAATCAGACTCAATATTACCTCTAGGGAATTACGTTGCTACAGTTGCTCACCTTGAAATATTAGTAAAAAATTACACCAAAGATCAACATATGCTAACAATAACGGATTTGAAAGCAGAAGACAAAATGAACTATGCAGCGGCAGAAAAAATGTGTAGCCCGGAAGTAAGAAAAATGATAGCCGACAACATTGACAAGAGTGCTGGAACAACAGCTTATTTGAAACTAATGTATCTTATATCGGCAGCATCCCTGGACAAAACGTTATCTATTGTAGAAAGGATATATAACAATTGGTATTGCATATTTTTCCTACGAATATGGAAAAAATGGATTAAGGACCAAAGACAGTATACAGTAAAAGATAACTTTTTATCTTCCAATTGCTACACATGCGTTGAACTCAATGGACACGCATTAATAAAAATAATTAAAATTTTTCAAAAAAGTAATCTTACTGATGATATGTTCTTGCCTTGGAAGTTTAGCTCTCAAACTTGTGAGAGTATGTTTAGAAGCCTTAGATCAATGACCTCAACTTTTAGCACAATTGTTAATTTTAGTATAAGAGATATGTTGCATCGAAGTGACAGACATAAACAACATTAAAAACGATTTGGAAAAAAAAATCGTTTTTCCTAGAAAAATCAGGAAAAAAAGTTAAATCATGAAGAGAGATTTTGTGAAAAATGATGACTTAGGAAACATTTCAGATAAAGATATACAAAGTACCGTAGAATCAGCTTTACGGGATTGTCTGCGTGACACTGAAGATTTAGGAATGAAAGTGATAGATTTCAACTATGTATTTTTGCCTCCGTGTAAAGACAATGAATGCAATGACGAAGTTGAAGATGAAATGTTTAGTGAAGGACAGTGCGATCACATTGAAAATTACAATAATTCTCAAATAGCCATGAAACGTAACTGTTTTCAAAGTTTGGAAAACGATCCAGTTGACCAAGATGAAGATTTACTGAATGATCTTTGCACAATTTCGTACGAATCTAAGAAATTTGACAGAGACATACACCTTAGAAGTTTTGATAGTGACGATAATTTTGTTGAGAAAGGTGATCTAGTCAGAATACGCTTAGATAATACAACAAAAGTTATAAAAAAGTCTTCACTTTGCTGGCTGTTAGACAATGAAAAGGATCGCGTCAGTGTGGATCGTCTCAAAAGATTTATTCAAAATAAGAAATGTAACAGTAGTAGAGTTAACTCAGAAACAGATACCTGCCTTCAATATAAAGATGCATCTCAAATTCAAAAACCATTCCAAATTAAAAAAAAAAGACGCTATAATATATCAAGTGACGCATCTGATTTAGACAACCCAAGTAGTATCGAATATGATGACAGCACGGACACCGAAAGTTTGAATTCTTCCAATTATTCTGATGATTTGAATCCTCGTTTGAATCTCAAGGGTGAAAATAGTAAGACTGATCGTTCTAAACCAGACTTAAATATAGATGATTATATTATAGTACAATTAACAACTCAAAAACAAAACAAAAAATATTACATTGGTAAAGTGTTATCACTTAACCCTATTTTTTGTGATTTTTTGAAAAGGAATCCAAAAATTCCGGATGCTTTTATGTTTCCGGACATTAAAGATCAGGGGGAGATCCAAGAAAATGAATATATAATGAAACTACCTCCACCTCAGGTACTCAGAAGAGGCAGTATAGTTTTTAAAAAAAAATTATTGAAAAAATATTTGATTTAATTCTAGTTTTTTTTTTAAGTGATGTGATTAAAATTTGTGATAATGTAACCTCAACCTGGGTCGAGATTTGTATAACATAGAGAATACTAAAGTAAGAAACTGTGCAAAATTCTAGGTGTCCATAAACACTTTTAAAGGGGAAAATTACCTCTGAAAATTTATCAAGTGGGGTTATCCATTCCTTTATTGTGCAAAAAAAAATCTTACGTGTTAAATTTTGCATTTCAAAAGTTTTTTTCTAGTATGCTTCATTTGAAAGTTGTGAACAAAAAATTAAAAGTGTATTTATGGGTAGCTAGAATTTAGCACAGTTTTTTACTTCAACATCATCTACAATATATACACAAATCTCGACCCAGGTTATAGCGTAAGTATTTTTTAAGAAGTTGTTTTATTTTGTGATATTTTGTTATGATCCAACAGAAATGCTTTACTTTTATGTTTAGAGTTACCGTTTTTTTTAACATTTAATAAAATAAATGAAACTACTTGTTTTTTCTGTTTATGCTACCATAATAAATGAATAAACCCAAAAGTAATGACTTAAATTATTATTATAAGTTTGATTTAATAGGTCAAACTTTAACATGATCTTGTATGCACAACACAGAGATGAACCTAATATATAGAATGATTTTGGACTATTTGGTATTCATTAATTACCTCTGTGAACGTATGAGCCAGTCGTTGTTGCCTTATGAGTCACTGATAAGTAAAAACTGCTGACGTAACTAAAAATATCCTTGCCCTTATGTACTTTTAATTTCGTAAAGTCGAAAGCAAAATTTCATAATATAATTTATTAAAAAATTAATAATAATATATAACATAATTTATTAAATCTTTGAGTGATTTAAACGAACTAATTTGTACACACCAGACATTTTTAATTTCAAAATTAAAATAGACCATAAGGTTTTCTGACTGAATGTGCGAAAAATCTAGAATATTGCATATGTCCACTTTTAGAACATTTGACCCAAGAAAGTGTAAAATTCGAACGTACACTTACTCTATCAGGCGCGGATACAGAATTTCGTTTAGGGGGGGGCAATTTTTGTACGATTTTACCCATCTCCCAGAAATTCGTTCTAAACAAAAAAAAATTATAAAATTTTAGCTAGTATACTCTTTTTCACATAACATGGGTGACATTTGGTTGTTTTCGTTACACGCATAGTGTACAGTAGAACCTCGATAATCCGAATTAATTGGGAAAAAGGTGTATACGGATTAACGATTTGTTCGGATCAGCGCTTTTCCCAAAAATCTGAAAGGGAATTGAATAACAACTTCATACACAGTTGAAAACAAACTTCAACAAGTAAACCTTAATTTTATTAAACAAAATTAAAGAATTCTTAAGCAACAATGGATAATAGGTACATTCTAAAAAAATATTACTCCGTGACCATAAACACGCTATATTTTTGGAATCAACACGCCGGGATCTATACCCTGAATTTTTTCAGAATTTTTAGATAAATTTTTCAAAAATGAAATTTTCCATTATGTATTACCTCCATTATGCAAATTTCGACCCATTCTCGACGATCTTCGAAATTTAACTAATTACATTTTCTTGTAGATTTTGGGCCTCAAAAGTCACTTCTGGCTTCATTTCTTCGATAACCTAAATCATTTTTCCAGATTCGTCCAGTTGAAATATCGCAATTTTTTAAAATTTGGAAAAGTTCGAATTTCACACCGAATTTTCCGAAAATATTGCTCGGTTGCCATTAAATGCTAAAGTTTTGGAATCAGCACGTCGGGATATATGTACATATATCCCTGAATTTTTTCAGAATTTTTAGGAAACTTTTTCAAAAATGAAATTTTCCTGATGCAAATATCGACCCATTTTCGACGATTTTCGAAATTGAAGTAAATACTGTTTCTTGTAGATTTCGGGCCTCATTTCTTCGATAACTTCAATCTTTTTTCCAGAACTAGTTAATTAATTCAGTGCATTGAAATATCGCAATTTTTAAAAATTTCATAATATTCCAGACAACATATGCAGAAAGATCTTGCGTCATTTTTTTTTATTATTATTATTATTATTATTTTTGCAAGTAGGTGTGTGTTTCCAAGTTCAGTTCGGATTGCAGAGTTTTTGAAATTGGTCAAAATAAAGTACCTCGGTCGTGTGTCAGGGGGGGGCAATTGCACCCATTGCCCCCCCCCTGGATCCGCGCCTGTACTCTATTGATTTAGACATCTAAAACCTCGATTTTAGAGTAGCGTTCTTTTTGTAAGTAAAATCCGATATTTTTCTTAAACATTTCAGTTTGTTGCTTAGCAGCACAATACATTTTATTTATTTTTTTTTTCGTCTAAAGGGAAAGCACTTCAGCTTACCTAGTCACCGTACGTTAGTAAACACTTGGTAAAAAAAGGTTTAAATTCAACATCATTATCGGCAAAACAAAAAAGTCAAGTTAAAAAAAAGTTAACAATCGCCCTGTAGTCATTATGTAAACAAATTTTGAGGAAATCAAAAGGAAATCATAAGAAATCAAAAGGAAATCACAGGAAATCAAAGGAAATCAGAGGAAATCAAAAGAAATCGGGGGAAATCAACAGTAAATCATTGTCAAAAGGAAATCAATTGTACACTTGATGGTCGGCGGTTTACCCCTCGATATAACATTTCCAAGCATTATACTAATAAAAACAGAACTAAAAAACTCTGCGACGCTTCAACAATTTGCTGGGGCGAGGTTAATGCCTTCCCTCGCAGGGACATAATTCCAGGTACGCTTGATCTCTGTTGAACCCGTGTTTTTTATACGTTTCCACAGACGGCGTTTTAGTTTTATGTCCTTAATAATTGATGCAGTGTAGGTACCATACAGATATGTTGACAGTTTCACTGTGCTTTTCGGAACAGAATTGTAAAAACTGGTATGAAAAGAAGTTAAGAAAGCCTGATACTGAAAACTAAAATATATAATTAAAGTTAGCCATCATCCGAAGTAATTCACCAGAAGGGTGGCTACTCATGGGGGTTTCACAATTTTAGCAGCTTGGTCCGGTCCAAGTATTAGCATAGATTAATATAGATACGACATACAGGCTGATTTTGCAAAAGCACCCTTATTGACATTGGAGTCCTCAACTGCCAAAGGCAAGCGCCAAATTTAAATAGTCGATGCCAATTTAAAAAACTTGATTCACTACAACTCGTCGCCTAAGAACTTGTTTGATTTACAGACCAAAGGGCGCTCAGCCCAATGTCGACTCTAAGCGTTCAGAAGCGATTTGGTTGGTTTAGACTATAATTTCTGCGGAAAATAGTTTGGTCGGTTTTTATAACGACTAAGTGAATATTTTTGTTACATATTTACTTTAACTAAGAATTAATTCTTTATTTGTGTTTTATACTAGCAAAACGTCTTAAACTAAGAATATTGTTGAAGTCGTAATAACCCAATGGACTTTTTTCGGGAAAACGTTTTGGAAACATTGTGTGCTATTTTGTATGAATTTTTTTTTAATGTTTTTAATGACAATTTTGTGGCTGTTTTCGATACACTGTATGATATTAACAGTGAGAAAAAAAATGAAAAATTAAAATAATCGAAAATTCGAAAAATCGAGAAATCAAATAATCGAAAAATCGAAACCTTAAAAAATCGTAAAACCGAAACATTGAAAAATCGAAATATCGAAGAACTGAAAATCGAAAAAATGTAAAATTTAAAAATCGAATAACGAAAAATCGAGAAATCGAAACTCCCAAATTTAAAAAATCGGATAACTGAAAAATCGAAACATCGAAAAACTGGAAAATCGAAAAACTGAGAAATCGAAAAATCAAAGGATCAAGAAATCGTGGAGTCGAAAAGTCGAACAATTGAGAAACCGAAATAGGTCAAAATTGAAAAATCGAAAAGTTAAAAATTGAACAATTCGATAAATCTAGAAATCACAAAACTTAAAAATTCGAAAAAATGAAAAATTGAGAGACTGAAAGACCCAAAGAACGAGAAATCGAAAAGTGATGAAGTCGAAAAATCGAAAAATAGAGAAATCGACAAATACAAAGTTAAAAGTTGAAAAATTGGAAAAGCGGGAAAACAAAAAACGAAAAAATGGAAAACTGGAAAAACTGAGAAACCGAAATAGGCCAAAATAAAAAATTGAAAAAATGATAAATCAAAGACCTGAACAATCAAATCTCGATAAATCGGGAATGAAAAATTAACAAATCGAAAAATTGAAAAACAGAACATCTAAAACCAGGAAGTCGAAAAATAGAGATTGAAAAATTTAAAATTTAAAAATCCAAAAATTGAAAAATCGAAAAAGTGAAAAGGTAGACACATCGAAAAACCCAGAAGTCAAAAATAGAAAAGCCAAAGAATTGAAATATTGAAAAATTCTAAACTGAAATATCTAAAAACTGAAAAATCTAAAAATCAAAAAGTGAAGTCGAAAAATACAAACCTTCAAAAATCGAAAAATTGAAAAATCAAAAACTTGAAAAATCAAAAAATTAAAGAATTGAAGAACAGGAAAATCGAAAAATTGACAGTTTATAAATGTCAAATTTGAAAAATTGAATAAAAATCGAATAATCGATTGATTAAGAAATCAAAACATTTGAAAAATTCGAAAACTTGGAAAACTGAAATATCGAAGAACTGAAATGAAAAATCGAGAAATCGAAAAATCTAAAATTTGAAATATTGATAAATTAAAATATGAAAAAACGACAATTGCAAAACAGAAAATCTAAAAGCAGGAAGTCGAAAAATCGAAAGATTAAGAAATCGAAACATTTGAAAAATTGAAATATGGAAGAGCTGAAATGAAAAATCGGGAAATCGAAAAATCTAAAATTTTAAAATCGAAAAAGTAAAAAGTCGACACATCGAAAAATCCAGAAGTCAAAAATGGAAAAGTCGAAGAACAGAAATATTGCAAAAGCCCAAAACTGAAATATCGAAAAACTGAAAATGAAAGAAAAACTGACGAATCAAAAAACTGCAAAATCCCCAAAACTGAAATATCCAAAAAGTGAGAATCTAAAGAATCGAAAAATTGAGAGATCGAAAAATCAAAAAAGTAAAGTCGAAATATCGAAACTTTAAAAAAATCGAAAAATTGAAAAATCAAAAACCTGCACAATCGTAAAATCGAACAATTGAATAATAAGTAAACTGAAAAATCCCAAAACTGAGAAATTAAAAAATTGAAAAATTGAGAAATCGAAAAATTAAAAAAGTAAAGTTGAAAAATCGAAACCTGAAAAAATAGAAAAATTGAAAAATCAATTAATTGAAAAATCGAAATATTGAAGAGAAAAACTGAAAACCGAGAAATTGAAAAATTGAGGAATTCTTAAAATCCAAAAATTGAAAAATAAATAGGAGTAAACTGAAAAGTCCCCAAACTAAAATTTCTAAAAACTGAGAATTCGAAAGTTGAAACAGCAGAAATTATGCTCGAAACCGGTTGGAATGTGTATCAGATCACGAATCATGGCTTATAAATCAAATCGTTTCCGAACGCTTAGAGTCGACATTGGCCTGAGTGCGCTCTGGTCTGTAGATCAAACAAGTTCTCAGACGACTAACTGTAATTCGTGTGACCTAAATTAAAGTGAAGGAAACAGTATGCAGCTTGTAATATTCTGGTAAATCTAGTGTCAATTTGTCGAAAGTAAAACGCGTCGTTAAAAACATTATGACATTTTTTCGTGACAACACTCTACCATAAATTTTGTGATCTATAGTTATCCACTATGGTTTTTTCTAAGACCAATACTTATACCTATCTCTAAATTCATGTTTATTTATTGCAAAAAAAATTTCATTTAAACATTATATTATGCCAGGACATCATATTGCATTGTCCTGCAGTGCAACCGAAATTATCAGCAAAAAATATATCTAACCTCAATTTTCGAGGGACACTATTTGCAACAAATATTAACAAAAAACGAAAGAAATTGCTTACTTGTCCTGACATCTTTGCAAAATATTTGTTCGCCAAACTGTTTTAAAGTAATACACCAGAAATTACTAAGAGTAAATCAGAAACCGTCTCGCAGGAAACTTTTTATAGGCTTTATCATGTTATTTCCTCACAAAAACTGCAAGAATTTTTAATAGGATTTTACCACACTTATTTCTTTGTTTCGCTTATAGCCACTAGAGTCCCATTCTACTAGATGTAGTAGAAAATCTACTAGGTTACAAATATAAAGTATACTATAATGCATGTACAATGTAGATAAACCTGTGTATACTTATTGGTAAAAACGTTTCTTTGGGTATTATTGGTTGCATCTCACGTTTATTTTTTAATTCACTAAAATGTTATTATTTGTTAAATCGGTGCAAATAACAAACCCCAAATACTTTACCAGTAGGAAAATCTCATATCAAGAACGTACTTTTAAAATTTCAATGTGACAAATATTTCAGTATTTTACTCTAAAAATTTACATAATATGTTAAAAAATATATATTATGAACAAATAGCACATCATGTAAATAATAAGAAATACATTTTTCATATGTTGAGTTAAAAAAATATTCCGGTATAGAATGTTATGAATTCATCAATATATTTTGTATGTTTATTTTGTAGAAGCTTGTTCCTGTCCAGTACCTATAAATCACTATTTTTAATACAACATTTTTGATATATATATGATTCATACTACCTATCGCATTATCCTCGTTCTTCCTCGTCATTTTCAAATAAATTTGAACACCGTCAGGCTCTGTTATCACAATCTAAGAATCTGCTCTGGCAACAAGCAGGTATTTGTCAATCTGGAAACTATAATTGGCATCACAATCTCACTTACTTGCGATAAACTTTATGCTTACATTATTAACTTTGTGGTGTTAAATCTTTTCTATTCAAACTTCCTGAATTTAAAACACCATTATTCTTTCTTGCTGACAGGAATTAAAGAACCAGAGTGATCAACTGTTGTAAGTACAGCATGTGGAAAAAGTGTGTGGAACGTCCTTACAGTAATCATGATCACGAAAAATTACAAATAACCTATCAGCATTTTCAGCTAAGCTGTGAGGTGGTGTAGCAATGTCTGTATTCTGTGTGAATAATGAACACGAAGGCTTTATCACAGACTCATCAAAGGCAACAAAACCATCCTGATCAAGGCGAGAAATTTCATGGGCAGATATAGGACTATCATTGTTAGGAACGTAAACATTGTCTCCTTTCTCTATACAATATTTAACCAACTGAAAATTCTCCATTTTTACCGCTTTAGTAAGAGGTGCGGAACCATCTGGGCCTATTAAATCTAATTTAACACCTAATTCAACACGAAACTTCACCATATCATTACTATTTGTAACATAATCATGATCATGAAAAATTACAAACAACCTTTCAGCATTTTCAGCTGAGCTATAAGGTGGTGTAGCAATGTGGCATGTTTGACTGTAGGAATATGATTGTGTAATATCTGTGTTCTGTGTGAATAATGAACATGACGGCTTTATCGCTGACTCATCAAAGACAACAGAACCAACTGAATGAATATTAGACATTTCATGGTCAGATATAGAATTATTATTAGAAACATCAACATTGGGTATTGTTTTGTATTTAAGTCGCTGACACAACTGATTTGTATAATTATAAGGTCTGAAATGTTTCTGGCAAAGGTAAAAATTGTTACAATTAGCAGATTCCGGAATTTTACACACACTTTTCCAAATCGAAAGTGTTTCAGGATCTTTGGGGAATCTGTGAAATTTGAGGTTAGAACATTCACTGGATAGTCGGATTACATAATAGCTGCTTTTACAAGAAGGATATTTGCAATATCTGGTGGGTCGCTTGAATAAAGGTGTGACAAGGTTCGACATGTTCTATAAAAGCCTATGACGTGTAACTGTGAGCTTTTACCTAAAATACAAAATTGAACGTTATTTTAAACTAGAAGCTACTGACGTTGAGATCATTTAAAGTACTTACTGCTGTGTTGTGAAATGATCATAGGAAATGGTGTTCGTCCCTGCGTCATTCCTTAAACAACATGATTTTGTGATCAAACTATTAATACATAATTATATGTTCATTACCTTTTTAATAAACAGCTTAATATGAACTCCACACTCAGTCACGGAAATTAAAGCCGTAAAACATCACCCAGACGAAAACAGAACACAATTTTTGTTAATAAAAGACCGGGAAAAATCAGAAGCAGTGTGCTAGACCACCTGTCAAAACAAGACAGAAGTGGGCGGAGTTTAAGATGCGCGTTTTTGAATTACCAGTGGCGTATCGTAAAAAGTTTTCAAGCCAAAAATAATTAAAAACTTTGATAATAAAATTTGTACAATATTGCCGACCTTTCAGGCATCCAACTTTGTCCTTTGTCAAGGCTACAAAATTTAGTAATTCTGTGTCTGAATGAAACTTTATAATTTCTTAGCTACTGTACAATTTAAATTTTGTCACTAGTAAAATTTAACATTCTACATACTTAACTAATAACTCTTGTAACGGTAAAGGCGAATTTTTTTATAATATTTTTTTATCGTTGAAATATGAAATAAAAGTTCCTAGACCTACAAGTCAACTAAAAACTTAAGTTAAAATTAATTTAGAAAACCAGTGGACTAATAGTACCAAATAAATATACGTGTGATAAATTATTTTAAAATCGGATTCAAAACAAAACTTTAATAATCACTCGATTTTGACATGAAAATATTCGTTTATTTGTTGACTTTTATTTAATTGTTGCGCTTGTTTCTTGAATGACAAAATTTGCATTTCGAAGCTCTCGACATCAACTACGAACAATAAAATATTTTCGAAATTGCAGTATTGTAAGAGTAATTACGATTCATTTTCCTGTGTGATGCGTCGATGAATAAAAAGTCTGCAAAAAATGGCTGATAAAGTGCGGCGAGAACTTTTTGTTCATTTTCGTGTTACGCAAAGAGTTCAGTCGGTTTCGATTCTGTTGACGGCGTATGCGGGGCGCAAATTTGTTTATTTAAGTGGTTTATTTTTGTTAAAAATAATTTCGTTTCGGGATTAAAGTGAAAAGTGAGTGTTGTGATGTGCCCATGAGGATGGAATCTGCAAGGGTCGGCGCGGAATGAAAGGAAATCAGGATTTAAAGGGTAAGTGTTGCATTATATTTAAATTTTTTAAAACTGAAATAATTTGCAATTATCGTTATTGTACACTAAATCAGCAAAACGTTTCAATCATTTTAATTGAATTGATTTTTTTTCATGTGTTTTTTGTTGCAGTGGGTTCGTAAAAGAAGATGACGGAATTCGCTCAGTTGTAGCAGAAGAAGAAGCCTAAAGGTTAGAAGTTTTCAATAATTTTAAGTGGGGTGTTGTTTTTTTAATTTTTTTTTTTTCTTTTATAAAGTATAACCCTCTTTCGGAGGGTTTTACAGCGAACGGCAGCTCTTTAGCCGGGGCGGGTCGCGGTTCGGAGAGTTCTTATTATTTTTTTTGTATTGGGCGCCACGTAGCTTCCTGTTGGGGTAGTTTACTCCGCTACGTCGAGTAAACAGTCGAGAAGAATCAAGCCACAAGAAAACACAGGAAAAAAAAACTAAAAATATATTCAACGGATAATAAAATTGACAAGTGTTGATTAAATGAAATTCTTCTAATATTTCACAAAAAAAAATACCATTAACGTCCAGAAGGGACTATCACTGAAATATATTAACGTAATATATCAGAAAATGAAATGTATTCATGTGTCCTCGTACAAACTATCTTGCGATATGATAAATTAAAATACAAAAAAACTTCCAAGAATTTCGATAAAGATAGCTGTGACCGGGCGACTAAATGGAAAATTAGAACTATAAGGCGTTAGAGTGGACTTAGCTCGTAACCGTAGTTATCAGCAGCTCCTCTTCGTCTGGATTGGGATTGATAAAGAAACAGCGGCGTCACAGACCTCTGGATCCGAAGAAAAACTTCAAGGTTAGCGGCGGCTCCGCAGGAACAGCAGCGAAAATCAAAATCGTCGGTTCGATATGGTCTCTTCAAGTGAACAACAGGGACGACAATAAGCTACTCACTGCAACGGCATCACGATAAGCTTGGTTCTTCCAGGAACTCTTCACTTGGGTGCGGTGATAAAAAAACGAACGATAAAATTCCTCTTTTCTGTAGTGGACGATACGAAAACGGCTCAACTAAACCTCTTGCTTCGAACAAAACGATAAAAATCTCTATCTTGAGTACTTCCTCTTCGTCCTTCCACTTCCTTCCTTCAGAAACTCCACCAAAATCTTCTCGAAAACTTCTTTTCTCCTCTTCGACTACGTCCTGGCACTTCCTTCCTTCAGCAACTCCACCAAAATCTTCTCGAAAACTTCTTTTCTCCTCTTCGGCTACGTCCTAGCACTTCCTTCTTCCAGGATCTTCGCCAAAACGCCTCATGAGAACCTCTCTCTTCCCCTATCAGGTCGATACTCTCTCGAATATTCTTTTTCGCGGGGTGGGAGTACCAGCGCATTAGCAGTGCCACGACGTCGTTTGACACTCCCCATAGGCAACCCTGATGTCTTAGATGTCGGCACGTATAATATTGCATCCCCAATAAAACAACCCTTTTTTTTTTTAAGAAGGGATGAAACAAAACAATTGGAACGTTTATCTCTTCAACAAAATTGAAACGTTACAAAAGACTGTATTGATCGACAATTTTGTCTCATTTTTATTTTATCAATTTTTTTTTTGACCTCTTGTTACATATATTATGCATTCTTTTTTTTTATGTGCCTATGTTTAAACAATTTTTTTCTCAAAAATATTTAAATTATGTATTATGGTAATTGTTTATAATTTTTTTTTGTTTCTTTAGTGTTTGATTCCGTTCAACACTCACTTTTCACCGGTCAACGAAACGACTTTAATCTCTATTTTTAGATTGACTCTACAGAGTTTTTTCCCGAAACATCCAGATTTTTGGAAAAAAAAAATCAAAAGTATAAAACAACATTTTGCAGTTTAATTTTGAATTTGTAAAACCGAATGCTTTGAAATCTTACAGACGTTTTAAAGTTATCTATTAATTAGTTCGTGTTGGGTTTTGATAAAGTGAAGTTCAAGTGTTAAAGTGTTTTAAGTTGGAAGTACTAGCCCCGCCCACCCACCCTCTCTTTCATATCATTTGCCGAAATCAATCTTATCTGAACAGGTACTAGCCCCACCCACCCGTCCTTTATTTTCTTAGAGGGTAACATTTGTCAAAATCAGTCGTATCTTAGGATGTACAAGCCCCGCCCAATGCCCCTCTCTATTTTCTTAAAGAGTATATCATTTGCCAAAATCACTCTTATCTTACCAGGTACTAGCCCCGCCCACCCACCCTCTCTTTCATTAGAGAATATACCATTTTCCAAAATCAGTCTTATCTGAACAGGTACTAGCCCCACCCACCCGCCCTTTATTTTCTTACAGGGTGTCATCTGCCAAAATCCGTCGTATCTTAGGAAGTACAAGCCCCGCCCACCCGCCCTCTATTTTCTTAAGGGATATATGATTTGCCAAAATCAGTCTTATCTTACCAAGCACTTGCCCCACCCACCCATCCTCTCTTTTCTTAGAGAGTATCTCATTTGCCAAAATCACTCTTATCTTAGCAAATACAAGCCCCACCCACCCACCCTCTATTTTCTTAAAGGATATATGATTTGCCAAAATCAGTCTTATCTTTACAAGTACTAGCCCCATCCATCCGCGCTTTATTTTTTTAGAGAGTACGTCAGTTGCCAAAATCAGTCTTACCTTAGGAAGTAGAAGCCCCGCCCACCCACCCTCTATTTTTTTAAAGGATATGTGATTTGCCAAGATCAGTCTTATCTCTCCAAGTACTAGCCCCACCCACCCGCCGTTCTTTTTAATTTTTAGATTTTTCGACTTTCGTTTTTTTTGGAATTTTTACTTATTCGATTTTTCAAAATTTTGTCACTTTAAATATCTTACATTTTGCGTTTCAATTTCTTAATTTTTCGATTCGTTGGTTTTGATTTGGCGATGTTGTTAATTTTCAATTTTTCGAATTTTTAAATTTTAGATTTCTCACTTTTTGTTGTTTCGATTTCTCAGTCTTTCGACTTTTTGCCTTCTCATTTTTAGTTTTTTCGATTCTTCAATTTTTCGGAATTAATTTTTCAAATTTTTGATATGTCGATTTCTCAGTTTTTCGATAATTCATTTTTTTATATAAATTTTTCGATTTTTCGATTTCTCGATTTCTCAAATTTTCAATATTTAAGCTTTGGGATTTTTCAATATGTATATATTTCGATTTTAAAATTTTGAGATTTTTCGACCTTCTCCTTTTTGAATTATGTACTTTTTCGATTTTTCAAAATTTTGCGAGTTTTTAAATCTTACATTTTTCGATTTTTTAATTTTTCGATTCGTTGATGTTTGATTTTGCGATGTCGTAAATTTTCAATGTTTCGAATTTGTAAATTTTAGATTTTTCACTTTTTGATGTTTCGATTTCTCAGTGTTTCGATTTTTTGCCTTCTCATTTTTCGATTTTTTAATTTTTCGGAATTAATTTTTGTTTTTCGCTATTTCGATGTTTAAATTTTTCAATTTAAAATTTTCCCATTGTCACTTCCATTTTGATGTTTCGATTTCGCGAATTTCCAATTTTTCGATTTCTCAATTTCTCGATTAATCTCGATTTGCTTATACAGGGTGACTAAAAAAAAATAACGAATGCCTGGATTTATTTTATTGATCTAATCAGGAACTACACTGTGGAGATGTTTTAAAGATTTATTATAAATGCATGGCAAATTTTTTATCAAAATGTATTTGCTCATCCCCTCTAAAAAATTGATGACGTCACCTAAAAATTTTTGCTGAATAATCTTAAATGTGCAAAGTATGCTGAGTGTACCTATACTTGTGATTTATCCCTCGATTAATATATTTTTATTTGCTTATACGGGTGTCTAAAAAATAATGACTGAGTCAATTTTTTTTGTTGATTAAATCAAGAATTGCAAAATTGAATACTTTGAAATTGATAACGTCATCTCAAAATTTTGCCGATTAATAAATTCTACCCAAGATTGGCAAAATATTAGTATTTGCTAAGATAAGACTGATTTTTGCAAATGACATATATTCTAAGGAAACAGAGGGTGGGTGGGCGGGGCTAGTATAGGCTGAGATAAGACGTAATTTTGACAAATGACATCCTCTGAGAAAACAGAAGGGGTGGTGCTATTGCAGAAT